GGTGATTTCGTGTTCATTGACGATACTTGGACTAAGGACGCGCGGACAGAAGTTAGTCGCGAGGGAAAATATCGGACCGAAAAGTCTTATTTTTCTTCTCGACGCGACGTTTATCTTACGACAGGCGAACAAACGTTACGAATAAATACTTTGAAAGATGATAGAGTGTCGTTCGACAAAAGAATAACGCATACCTCGGCAGATTTTACCTTGCTGAAGTGAAATTTGTTTTTCTATTTAAAAACAACGGAGACCAGATTTGTTTTTAGCGTTGACGTGCGCGAAAGGGGCGTGTAAATGAAAGGATTGCAAAGGGAAATCCGTGGCACATATATGAATCCGTAAACAGTAAGTTTTCCACCGTGAAAAGTTTCGCGGATGTAGACAGAAAAGAAGATAATAACGATCTGAAGCGATTTATGCTGTAATAAATGCAGTTACAATGTAATTTTACGCTGCCACAATTTCGGTGAATAAATGGAAAAGTGAAGACTGGATCAAAAACGTACCTAACAAGGTTAAAAATGCAATTAACACGGAAACTTGCGAAGAAAATTGTATCCTCTGTCGACCACGTTCAAAATTGAAAATACTTTTTCACATAAACCGATTAAATAAGCATAGAGGTTACACTGTCCTCGTTCGCTTTTACTTTCATTAAGTCACGGAAACATAAACATTGTGAAAAAACGCGAGATTGGACACCATTGCTACAACGGTTGAATAAAATTCAGCGGATTCTACTTTTTTCCACGATTCAGCGCGGTAAGTAAAGCCATTCATAAAACTCCTCGCGTAAAAACATCCACAAACCGCTGGAAATATAAAACGGCGTGCCACTTGTATGGATTTCCGTCGTTTTCAATCCCTTAATCTTTTACGCGGTGTGTAGATAGAAAACGAAAGCTCCCCGTTCATTCGCCGGAATAATCGCGCGGAGTTCGCGAGCCACTCTGTTTTCCGGTAAACAAGTGTCAGGCGAGGAGTTTAGGTCTCTCGCGGAACTCCTCCGGTGTTCGCGCGGCCCTGTCTGGAAGGTCTTCAATTCGACGGATCGATTGTAAACACTATCGAACATTCAGGACACATCTGACGCAACAGTTCGAGGACTGTTGACAAACATTTCCTTTCTAGTGTCGTTGCCGGGACGCGCGAGTCATATACACGCGACACGCAGCATTCGGTGGAAAAGCTTACGTAAACGGTGCACGTGATACGCGATCGCTGAGCCCGCGTGTGCTTACTTTAAGGATCACCCTATAAAACGAGAACGTCACCGGCACGGTCTGCCATATACTCAATGTTCGGTGCAACAGAATTTTAAGTGATCTAGGATCTAACCCTTGGCACTTCGGATGGTTTTGTGATCTATCAGGAACTGCAACTAATTTTTATGGTATCCCTAGCGAAATTTCATTCATTGAACAAATGCAATTGATTCGTTTAAGAATTTCACAGGGAAGCAGAGCTTCGATATCCCTTCGGGCGAGATTTCGATTACAAATATGTAATTTGACGTTTGTTTTAAAATAAAAAAATTCGAGCGTACTATTCGCTCAAATAAAATTCATTGAAGTTTCGAGGTACGCGAGTGTGAAGCCAACCAACGACAAAGAAAATTGAACAAATTGCTGTCGCGTCACGTCCTGCGTGGAAAGGTATCCATGAAAATTGTGTAACTCACAAATATTATCGGTTTTTTAAATAGACAAACACGAATTGAAAGAACATTGTTTGCGAGAATCAAAATGTGGATCTAACTCGTTGATATTATGAAAATGCACGGTAAATATGTTTAAATGCGTAAGGAAACAGATTTCTTAGTTCCTCTGTTGAAATGAAACGCGGTCCTCCATATTTCCTGGGATTTGGTAAATATTTTGGGTCTTGTAAGTGTAAACTTATTTTCTACTAACAATCTATCTACAAAAATGTTCAATTCGATTTATCCGGATCCCGCTTAACCCAAATCACGACGGAGTCCACGGAGACCGCAGAAACTAAAGTTTAAAATTACCAACGAAACCGCAGCTGCCCGTTTCCAGATATCGAATAGATAAATATCGCACGATCCGTGTTAATTCCGGACGTCTTAAACTTAGCCGTGGTATCCATAATTTCTGACGAGACGATCCGCGCGGAATTAGAAAGAACCGATGGTACTGGCTGCTTATAATTGGACACGTGCGACGCTCGGAGACCAAATTAAGAATACAATAGGATAACCTTCTTTTCAACTTAAAAAAAGAATCAAGTATTGTAACAATAGATACTGCTCGCTAAACAAAAGAAGAAAGTTGTAATAAGCATAAACAGAAAAATAGATATTTTCAAAGTCACAAACAATTTCTCTGTCCCAGTTAAAGCGGCTGATTTTCCCGGTTTGAAAGCTATCGCGTCGAATGGATCAGTGAACTGCATTGATTAACAATGTCATAATTACGGTAATCTACGTGCGTAAAATGAGAGGATACATGATCCATTGTGTCCATACAGCGCAGCTTCAGAAGCGAGAGAATCAGTCGTACCAGTCAAGATGAAAAATTGCTGGTAACCTTGAAAGTATCAATATTTCGATCAGCGTTCGTTAGAATTTTGTTCTCTTATTTAACGAGCACTGCTGGTGAAACTAAAGAATATTAAATCCTATCTTTAACACTAGAACTACTATTTAATACGATTGATACGTAATCCATATAAAACTTATAACAATATAACAATTCGAAGACTCAATGGTTCGAAGATATCAATAATTGCTAAAAAAATCGAAACCAGTCATTCTGACTGGTACGGTAGTTCTAGCGTTAGAAAAAATTCGGAAAACGTAGCATAGTTAGGGATTAAAATAGTAAAATATTTAGAATGCATCAAGTTTCCTTTAACACTAGAACTACCGAGCATTTAATTCGATTGATATGCAATTCCCATAAAAATTGTAACAATAGATAATTCTCATTATAGTACTCAAATGAAGCTATTTATTTTCAAAATCATTTCGAATATTCAATGCTTCGAAGGTATCAATCATCGCGAAACGAAACAATCGAAACCAGTCATTCTGACTGGTACGGTAGTTCTAGTGTTAACGAGCTGAACATCCGCACCTCGACGCGCCGCGATTCTTCATTATCTCCTCCGTAATTGGAGTAGGTCGTCGTATCGATGCCCCGAAAATTTCGAACGTGTAACGGGCGACGTCCCTCGCGGAAACGCGGACTGATTACACGTTTCATCAGAGCTGAACTGCCGGACGTAAATCGGACGACGTGATTCCTCCGCGGAACGGGAGTCGGAGACAATGAACGTCTAGAGCGGCCGGGCGAAAGGGAAAAAAAATTAATAAGTCGGTTTCAGGTGGAGGGATCGTGGATATCCATTCGGCTATCAGAACCGGTCCCTTTTCAACGGTAACATCGCTCTCTCCGCGGCACTTTTAGTCCACCTTTTTCCCGCCACCCTTCTCTCCCTCCCACGCCGACGCTCCGTCCTCCCCCTTTCGCCGCTCTTTCGTACGGTCTTTTCCCCTCTTTACGTGTTCCTCTCGCTACAGCTACGGAATTTTTAAATGAGAATTTTAACGATCGACCTACATTTCTGCACCCTATTTACGGTGTATCACGGGCAATGTCAAACACCGCGGTAAATATACTACCGCCCGACCACGTCGAAAAATAAGAGGGACGCGATCGCGTACACCGCCGCGAATGTATCGGGCGGACGCATCGATACCCTCGAAAATGGGGATTGATAGGATCGCAAGTGGTTTCCCGGTGATCACCAATTTTCCACCGCGTTTTCGGAGTGATTTGTGCTATCCGGGGGTTAACCGATCGACGGTCGGATCTCATTTAAAAGTTTCAATTGTTTGGAAAAGTAGGGTGTACCGTAAGTTTATGTAATCGTTGATGGGATTCTTGTTGTTTGAACTTCCTTGAATCCGATGGAAAATTAGAGCAACGCTGAAGACACGCGAAGTTTGCGTTGAGTTTTTACGGGCTTCGGTTGAAATTTGAAATGTTGAGGCAGAGGTGAGTTTACGTGGAAAAATCGATTCGAAGAGAAACACGAGTTTTTCTTATGAATTTATTTGTTTTGAATGCGAAGATTTTCGAGGATCAAACGTATTTCGGGATGACTTGGTTCCTGTGTCTGATTTATCATTGACTATTTCCATTAGTATTAGTATTTCTGGATATAGCTAACAATATGCTGTTGTTTATTTAATGAATTGGGATAATGCAAGATCATAGATAAGAGATAGTCGTATAAAAGAAGAATAAAGAAGATAATACTATCGTGGATGTTTGTTGCGAGTACAGTTAGCTGAGAATGGTCGGACATGTTGGTCATATGCGAAAGTCATGTGCTTGAGAAATTTTGAATTTTGTTTTGTTTCTAAATGAAAGTTCAGTTGGAAATATGTTTCTAGGACTTGTTGTTTCCCTCATTCTATATAAATCTTTTCTTACAATTCTGGTGACAAATATTAAGGTTACTTTTATATTCAATTAATATACCACGGTGTCGTTTTATTTGCTGTCTTTCCCTGAACTGTAATTACTGGAATTCTTATACAAATTTAAATCCTGAACTAATTCACAAAGACGCATGGTACCTGTCGCTTAGTAATTACAACGTATTACCAAATATTTATCAATTACAGCGTTTGGGCGATACGATCAATCACCTTTGTGTATGATTTTGTGCTTAAAAGTTGTTATCATTCTGTATAAATTATACCCATATTTATTCTCCGCAGTGTATAGTCTTAGACGATCAACTGTATGGTTGTTTTACGCATACAAAAGTGTCTTCCCGATTTAGAAATGGCATACCTAGGCATGTTTACAAAGTTCCCATCATGGAGAACTGTGTAACTTCGGTATCAAAGATAATTCATTTTTATTCATAATACCATGCCGCTGTTAAGCACCCATTATTGCGAATGATTTCTCTAGAAGTTGATAAAAATTAATCGAACAAATTGCTCAAAGACTCACCCTCATATGCGGCTGGACCAGAAGCTCGTGAAGCTCCCTGAGATCGGCTCTATCGATGTTTCGTATTGCTGAGTGCTCTATTTCTCGTAAAAGTTCCTCGACTTCCCGTGCACGTTGCACCGCGTCTGCCTGCGGCGCTCGACATGGTGTTGGAACTCGAGTCGAGATCATATCGTAAAGCTGAAAAAAGAGTTATGAATTATTCCATCCCATTAACAAATAGTACACATTATATCTTGTGTTTTAATTTATGAATTTTCTTATTTAACTCAGTATCCGACGAAGCACAGTTTCCATAAGAATAAATACAATCTAGAAAAATGCTATTAAACACAACTAAACAGCGTTGACATCTACGTATTCCCAGATCGTCATTACATTCAGTGTAAAAAAGTGTAAAAGAAGCAAGTGTAACAAGTATAAAATATAACATTTTATTATCGTATACAGTAATTTCCCTATTTCACCCTCCAAAGATGAAGCTGTGAGAGAAATGTGCGCGCCAAGAAATTCTGTACGTCCGATGAGACAGGAACCAACAGATTTCCGGTAAAACCAACTTTCGAAGAACCATCGCTGTTCTGTTTTACTAACCGCTCGCGGATGCGATGGGGGCGACGAAAATCACGGTAGCGCGCCCCTCGAAATAATCGTATTCGCGGGGTGAAACGCGATAGTTCATTGCGGGACCTTCAGATGTCCTATCGTGTCAGGTTGAGCAACTCGCGGGGTTGAATGTCGCGCGACGGCATTGTTCGCGGCGAAAGGGGGGGGGAATCGAGAGCGATCCAGGACTACTCACCAAGATACCCGCGATCTCGAGGAGGTCGCCGGCCAATTCGGCCTCGCCGAAAAAAATCAGCTGGCAGAGCCGCATTTTGCTCTGGCATCTACTCGTCATTATTCGTGGCACGTGGCTTCACGCGAGCCCACGTGACCGTTCAGGCGGCACAAAGGAGACGCACAGACACATCTATACGGTCGACACTGGGTCCTAGCGACGCCGCGATCCAGTGCGGCATTTTGTTTACCACAATAGCACGTCGGCCATCTTGACGGGCGAGAGCTGAGCGCTTGCGCCCTTTTCCCCGTCGGGATCGGAGCCCGTGCCTCTTCCCTCAGGATAAAAACATAATGATTCCCGGAATGGGGCGAGGCGAGAGCACGCCGGGACCAACTCGAGGGGTGAGAGAAACCAACGGTGGCGCCGCGCTGCGAGAGGACGGTTCACCACTTTTGGAAAACTCGTCGAGAAATGGAAATCGTATAGGAGCGATGAAAAAATATTCGGGAATATTCGTTGCGATGAACGTGAAACTCGAAACTGGAGTTCCGGCAGTTAGCGTCGAATGTTAATTCAGGGGGTGATCCACGAGACTGCGACGTCGGTACGTTATCGACGCAAGGCACGAGCGAGTGAAGTTAACATCTGCGGAGGAGGTATGATACTGTAGCTGCGATTATTGTAATAATGTTAATTTTTTGGAAATATCTCGGCGTGAGATGTTGGGAGAGATGCTAAACTGGGAAATACGTGAAAATGAAGAATATGGTTCCTACGATTGAAGCGAATGAATTGAATACTGCACTTCGTACGCTGAGCAAACGAATAATATATAGTCGAATAGTTGAATAAAAGAAATTACTGTGGAGAATAAAACAATGCCACTTTTATGCACGCGCGTACCTGTAAAGACGCTCGAAGGCGATGGTCGTGGATCGCGTCGAGAATGTCGTAGCGTGTCAGTCTTCCACCCTCTTGAAGTAGCTCAATATCGTCTAGAGAGTCTAAAATATCAGCTACAGGACCTAAAACATAATTTCACTCGTGTAACATGATTACGCAATATGAATTCCAAAAAACGCATTTAAAATTAACTATAGTTTCATCGATGAATAATCTTTCACGCTTGACAATACGTTACCGACAAGACGGTTTACTCAATGTTTGAAAAACGACACGGACATCCGGTGTTTTAATGAAGTAAGTATTGTAAATAGTGAACAGGAAGAAGGACTTACAGACAGTGGATTTCAAACTATCTGAAAAAATCAATACATTCGTAGCACTTTCGAAAGGTTAAAGCGTTACGTAAAGTTTCTTTAAGATCATTTAAAATTAGTTCATCCGAACCCACGTAACTACGTGCGAGCGTTTACTGGCTGTTCAGTCCTTTTCCCTGAATGCGCGCGGACACGAATAGTAATATACCCGAACGATAATATATCACTGAGACGTTCGTACCTGAAGTCGTGTATTTATCATCCCCTACATCGAAAAAACTATCGCCATTAACTTCCGAGTAGCCGGTGTGCCATCTCGACGACGTTACCACCCCCTTTACAGCCTCCTTCAACTTTCGCCTCGCATTGAATTTCTTAAGCTCTTCTATAGTTTCGGCTAAATGTATTCGGGCCACGCCCTTGTCACGATCCTGCAAGTGCAACAGAGTTCATTTACCAAGCGTGCAACTTCTGCGTTCGATGATACGAACCACGTAACAGAATGTTTCAACGTGATCACGTGACGAGCTTACTAAACGATCTTTCGCCGAACCGAGGCTATTCTACGAAATCCGTCTACAACGACAGAACGATTACATTCATCTGAGAATAGAAAATTTCCAGCGCCAGCGAACCTGAACGCGATAGTTTCCCTTTCATGAACCGACGGTAAAAGTTGAACGATGAAAATCGAATTCCACTGGAGAGTGATCTCGCTTCTTTCCTCGAAGAAAGAATGTACCTATTCCGACGTGATATTTCATAAAAGAGAATACTCGTATCCATACGCGTTCGCGAACCGCAAAGACAGCATTGTTCCTTCCATTAGAGATCCGATTTGATTTCCCCATAGAATTTACGGCTGCGCGGGCATTGATCATTCATCGCGGGAATTACCGGGCACGAAAAGATTTTATCGGTCGTGAGGGCGGCATTTCCCGTCAGACACAAGCAATAAAGAATTCATGCGCGGCGAGCCGATGCGACAGACAACTTCTTTTTAACGTCCACGGGAATGACCATTATGCAGGCGTTCATGGAGCCTGTTGGGGTTCAGCGGGCGTGCACGGTCGCGTTCAAAAAACTGTAACTGGCACAGGGAAAAATATACACCGGTACAGTTATTTTCATTAACCGATGGAACTTTGCCCCTGCTATAGCGATCGATAGCCCAGTTGCACGTGTATATTGCATCGATATATGGGGTGATTCCAAGCTTCACTACCTTAGGTCACTGGCTAACCGCGGCTGCCGCATAGGTGTATTCTCACTTTATCGCACCATACGGCCGGCACATGCGCACGCACATTCGCCGGATATAATAACAGAAAATGAGGCCGTTTATCGAAAGGCTGATACGATATAAAAAGAAAGCAGATACGCTTGTAGCATCCGCAAAGTGGAAATTGTTAACGTGAACGCCTGTACGTGCAGCGCCGATGCCAGCGTACCAGTTGCACGTTGAATAATCGTCGTCCCTCTAAACCGGCCCAGCCCGCGTTCTAATCGCGCCGAACCACCGAATCGAAACGTCCAGAGAAACGGCGGGCGACCGAACTTCCAGCGAGAGATCGCCGACGGCTATTTTATTTTTCTCGGTTTCGGAGGTTCGCTCGCGGCTCGGTTCTCGCCGAAAATTTTCAATTAAATCCGCCGGAAGACGGAGTCACGTTACGAAGGACAACCATGGGCTTAGCGTCGCGATTAAACGAGAAATTGGACCGTGTATCTCGTTTCGAACCGGGATAGGAGTAACGTTTTCGTGAAATGAGCGCGTGACACGTAAATATAGGGCAAACTAGATTTATCCTCAGTCACGTCCGACGTTTCGTAGAATGTGACTTACTCTGAGCCATTTGTGGTTGAGCACTTCCTGAATGGTAATCCTGTGATTTACGTCTGTCGTGAGCATTCTTTGGATGAGGTCCTTTGCGGGCTCGCTAATGGAGTCCCAGAGCGGCGAATTCATCTGGAAATTTCAGGAATTGTTCGTTAACCGTCCGGAAGAAAAATACAATTAACAAACCTGGCAAGATTACATCTCGCAAACGTCCTGTATAATTGAAACTGAATCTATTTACATTCCAATAACAAAATCTACAATTTTAACAAAAATATATCTACTTCTTGTCGACATAAAAATGTACAAAAACACGTCGATCCTGAAATGACGTTTACAATGATCAAAGACCGTTTCAAGATTTGTTCACAATCCGTTTGCTAATTCTTTTAATAATGATTAATACATACATTATCTCTACATTTCTATTCAATTTTTCTGTCATAAATATCAATTTATTTATCTTATTACTAGCAAACGTGCTCGTGCTTCTTTCAACAGCTGCACGAACGATCGGAACAATGAAAACGCCCTGTGCAACGTGAAACGAACGAAACGGCAGTAAGACACGATTGTTTTCCCACCTGTACTCGTCCTGCACAGATCGCCTCGCGCAGTCTGTCCTGCGATCCGACGAACGGCAGCGTGCCGGTCAGTAACACGTGAAGCAGCACGCCGGCTGACCAGACGTCACCGGGCTTCCCGTATTGTTTTCGCTGGATCACTTCCGGCGCCATGAAGTGCGGGCACCCGACACGACCTGGACGACCAAGAACATCATCAAGCCGCGGCAAGGAAAGCGATCGTTGCTCGAGGATGGGGGAAGACGGACTTGAAGCGAGGCGTCAGTGATTGCTTCGTGAGTTCGCAGTCGATCGTTTACGTTCGCGAAGAAAGTTCGTGACCGGCCGGTAGAGAGGAGAGAGAGTTTGTCAGTTGCCACGAGTTTAGGGGCGAGAGAAGCTCGGGGACCGAGAAACTCCTCGCCGTCCGTTGCGGTATATCGGTGACCGGAAACGCGAAAATCACGTCCCGGCGTGGCACTCTCCGTTTCGTCTATCGATCGAAAGCATACTTTGTTTTTTTTTCGGAAATGAAAGAAAAAGGAATTCTTCGCGTCCACGAAGAAATCCGTGAACAGCGGATCGACTGGATCGAGCTTTGAGCGCGTGTATGTGTGTGTGTGTTTGTTTGTTTGCCAACAATCGGATGTAATGGAATGTAAATGCGAGACGGATGATCAACATTCAAGTGTTAAAGAGAACGCATCAGCTCATCTAGGACATTCTTACGAGCATATGATATATGCATGTTTGTATGTATGGATGTATGTATGCGTAGATGTGTACGTGTTTCGTGAATTATTGCGCACTAATCGAATATGGAGAAAACATAGAAACGTGTAAAACGGCTGATTAGAGTTCACAGGGAACGTGTCACGAAGCTGCACAAGAATTTACGGAAGTACACGCAGATAAACACTTATCAAAAGGGGAGCAAGAGGGGCTGGGGCAGATGCGTTTGTCAAGGCTAAAAGCGGAAAACGGCGTGACGCGCGAAACGTTTTCGCAGCCGGCGCGACGTGACAATCGTCGTTGCGTCGCGCACCTGGATTCCACACGGAAAAATAATTCGCATACGTAGAATGGAATTTCTTAATTCGAGGAGCAACCTTTCCGTGGAAAATAAAATTGGAAGTTTCCACGGTACGCGTGCACTTGACTGACCCGAATGAGTAACGGCGGACAATGCCTGGAAAATTGCTATATATGCAAAAACGGAGTCGAATGAGCGGAGTGAGATTTTTTCAAGAAAATCCACATTGAAAATCCGTCGAGCGCACCTGTAATTGGCTAACTGCCACTAGGAGCTTTCGCAGGATCAATTTTATTCTTTTAATAGTAGATTTCGAATAAGGTTTTATTTTATAATTTTCATTTGTTTTTTGTTTTTGTTTTGAAGATTCAAGGTAATTATAGATTGGACTGTGTACAGTCACGAGACAGTCAAATGCAAGTGTGACCTCCAAATCTCCCCGTTTAACACTAAAACTACCAGAGGGGTCAAATGAGCCATGCCTGATGTCTTTTTGCAATTATTAGAAAGGTAACAAATGTTTCTCTGAGAAATTGGTAAAGAGATTCATCTAGCACTACGCAAATTGAATTGTAAATCAATTAAAGTCTGAACAGATGCACTCTTGGAGTTTCTATAGCGAAATTTTCAAAGTCAGTTGAAGTACTCGGTAGTTTTAGTGTTATTTCTCTGATAAATAAAGTGGCAACTGAAAATATGTTATGTTATGTTTCTGATTTATTTTTTCGTGTAGGAAAACCTGCCGGTTGGATCACCGGTTACAACACACTGTGTGGTGTTACGAATAAGTAGAATGTACGGAGTGACAGAATGATGCTCCGTGATCATTCCTGAGTTCTAAGGATTTAGAGAAAAACTGATTAAACGAAATAAATCACATATTAAATTTTCATCAGCGATAACCATTTATCTCTTTGCGCAATTCAGATTGTCGATATTATTAAGTGGCATTTTGATAATGTTGTGATATAAATAATTTCGAATCTTGAAAGATTACACGGTATTAGATTGAATAATTTGTATAATCAATTTTATCTTGGGCGTAAAAATAATAATTCCAAGTACCACTTCTGATTAAGTACTCTGTATGAAATGGGTATACATTGTGTGGAGAAACATGGGTACAAATAATTATGCAAATGTGTTTTACATTAGGAAGTCTTTATACATGATAACCAGGATTAATTCCCAATTAAAATGAGTGATTTGTTAAAAGTTTTAACGCCCCGTTTAACGTCGATATGTAAAAAAACTGAAAATCGATATAATTAATATACGCATTCAGTACGAAATGTATAGGGTGAAACACAAGTACAAAATGTTAAACACACGTTGAACCGCTTGCGAATCATTCACAGTGTGAGAACAATTTTTGCAATATTGTGCAACAAAGTAAAAACCAAGACTCGGTAATTGAATTCTTGAAAATAAGGGTCCGAATGTAACGGTGGAGAGTTGTTTTAATCGTTGAGAAATGAAATCGCAGTGCAATGTGTAACAGAAGTATATACATGCACATACATAGTAGCACATATTGCAAAACCGTGTTAATCAGTGAATCGTGTAACCATTTGTGCAGTTAAATATTTTTAATTACATTTTTCAGCTCTTCATTAACTTCAGATTGCAGACGTTAACACTGAATATATTTTTCCAACTTTTTAAGGAACGCTACGTTCAACGAATAAATTTCATTTAATAAAGAAGGTACTGAAACATGAAAATGAGTTTCGTTTCAATAATTACATTCCGTTCGATTTTACATTGTGAATATAAAACGAGTTTCATTCACAAGCAATTCATAATTCTGCAATTTCTTAGTAATTCCCAATTAATGAAACTAAAATGGCGTTTCCAATACGTGTCTGTTTATATTCAAACTTTGTCTCGTACTTCGAAATAATTACAAAAATATGGAATTAAATACACTTCCGAATAATGAAATACGAAAAACTGCTTAAAATTATTTCATTTGTATGTGATACATATCACGTATCTCGCATCCCCAAAGAAGACTGACATTTCCCAAGGAATATCAACCAGCTGTGTGTGTCTGTATGGTTATGCATCATAGATAGTTTATGTATATCGACATTCTGTGTGTACGGAACATTTTCGAATTTCTGTTGCTTACATGAATAGTGTTTCGCACAATAAACCGTCACGAACAATAAACGGCGGACAAATACAAAAAGATACACAGAGATACACAGAGACATACAGAGACAGGCTAGTCTACCGCTACGAACAATGACGACACAAACAAGCCCAACAATCGGGCAATTTTCAAAACGTAGACATAGAGCAAACAAGGAAAAAATTGAAGGGTTTGTTACGTACAAAACGTTTCAATGAGAAATACTTCTCCGCGACGTTTGTATGTACACGAATTATATACTGTGCCGCTTTAAAAAAGTGACAGTAATATATCCATCCCTAGAGCACATCTCCAAACGGAATAGAAAGTAGACGTAATAAAGTTAAAATAAATTTAATCAAAAATCCGAAATAAATGTGATTAAAATTTATCATTGATAAGCATACCTTACCAAGAAAAGTCCGACGGAAGGCACACGAAAGATACAACGGAAAATTACGATCAAGTTGAATCGTGTTACCTGTTCCAAGGTCATGCTTCAGGGAAAGATCACAAAAATTCTTATTTTTATGGATTAACCCTTTGCACTCCACAAGTTTCTCATTAGAACTATTCAACATTTTCTAAGAAGATACCAACGACATTCTTTCAAGCTGACTTGACGGAGAAATCACGTAAATTGAACGAAACTGATTTATTTCAATACGCCACATATGGATACGTTGCACAAAGATTAATATTGAATATCAAACTTTATAATTCCGCTGTGATAGTAACTGACGACTGAGAGGCGCCTACGGAGTGCAAAGGGTTAAATAACGATTATAGAAAAATTTCTGAAACATTTGAAAGAATAATCATGTTTCTGGAATAAACAACACTAAGAGGAATAAAAGGGTGTATTTCTCACATTGTTTAACGTGCCTTCGAAGGAAACGACGGAATACGAGAAAATGTCTTTCTAAATATTTGCCGACACGTACACAAATGAATGAAAACCGCACGGCAATTTTCACCGTGACAACTGATCGCCGGCAGACCTGAAGGGGTCAACGTAATAATATAAATTGTCCGGATTCTCTGACCTGTAACAGGTATCGCGAGCAACGCCGCGCGACAGAGAAAAAAAGGAGAGACAATAGATCGTAATGAACCCTTCAATCGTTGGATCCCTACAGACGATGAAGCAGGACGTTGTCTCATTCGCACGCTACAAAACGAAACACGTCGATGAAGGGGTTGGAACGGGAACAGGGTGGGAGGGTGGGTTGATTCGAACGGCAAACCAAGGGAACGGAACAAATTAAAAAACGAAAAGAAAGACGGGCCTCTCTGTTTCATTCTTCAACGACCAATTCGACGACACAACGTGTACGTGTCAACTACGCGGACCTGCACAACGATTTTACAGGAACAAACTACCGCACGTTAGGTCTAGTGGACATTAGTCTACACAGACACCGCGTGTCCTGAAGCTGACATGAGCAAACGACACGGGGGTAGAACACGACGTGTTCCGCGTGTCATCGCGATCGCCGATCGATTTTTCCGCCGCGATTGCAAAAGCGACCGGATATAAACGTATCGATAAGATGTCGGCGATCTGCTCTCTTCATCGAGATTGTCGAATCAATTTTTTCCTCTCCGTTCGTTCTTTTTTTTCGAGATATCCAGGACAGTCGCGGCAGCTTTCTCGCGAGAGCGGATATGAAACCGGTGCCCGAACGGTTCGACGGACAAATTTCGAAGGAGGCCGGTTCCTCTCGTCTCTACCCCCGGTGTGTTTCGTTGCTATGCGAGTGTGGCAGGCATACGAGTACCGATATTGTCTTCCGTGTCGCTCACTAGCGAATCCTCGGCGTCGGTGAGGTCCTCGAAAGGGAAATTGCATCCCGCGGACGTCAGCCCTATCGAAAGAACACAGACAAATAGGAGAAGGAGCGTTACCGGCGCACTAGTATCTGGGAGGGGGTGTGTAGCCTCTGCCGTCTCATCAACGATAAGAGCCTTATCGCCGTCGCCGTTATTCGTAGAGAAAGACAGTCCTGTGTTTGTGTCGTTTTTAACAGCGGCCGCAGTACCCGCGGGTACCGAATCGCCGCGCGATTCGGGGCCGCGCCTTTATCGAACAATCGACCAGCGAGGGAACGCGTCGAAATGGCATTCGCGGAATTTAACGCTTCTCCGGAAACAAGTTCTTACAAAACTATTTGACGCGTATATGCTTTTTTTTCTTGTTGACTGTCAATCGTATCGACCTGTTCGAAAGGGTTTGTAAAGTTGGAAGTGAGAAAGATATTTTGTTAAACATCTTGTAAGCTATTCGAAGAATGCGCTTGGAAAAGGTCTGCATTGTTGAAGGGATTTATATAAGCATTCTAGAAGTTATTCCATTTACATGAGAAATATCCTCGATTTGATAGACGAGCATAATTTTCAATGAGAAAATTTTATTATACTACCAATACGTGTCAAAAATATTTTTCAATAGATCGATTTTCTAATGCTCTACGCGATATACTGAACGTACTGTGAACTTTGTCGATGTTTGAATTATGTTACAATACACTTCAAATTTGTCTTACTTTTGTAACTTGAATGGTTTACAATATATTCGAACATCTTTCTCACTTTCAAAGAAAAGACTTCGAGGGATGGTTTTGCTCCTTCAATAGAAGCGAAACTCGGAAAAAATACCCGTCAAATATTTTTACGAGAATAATTTCCCGTGAAAGTTTCATCCAAATCGGCATACGTCACTTCGACATGATCCCTTGTCAGTTCAGGTACTTGACATTATTGTCGACGTTTACGTGTATTGATGTGAAAGATGGAGCTGCCGTAGTCAATTCGCTGCTCTTTCCGGTTTATTTCAAATAAACGCTTCGGAATACCTCCGTGTCTTCTTCGTTGCGTATCGAGCGCTAAATAATTACACTACAGCCCGAAATCTAATCGATTTCGACAGAACTGTTGTTTACCATTTTCTTTCTGTCCCAACCAAACTCAAGGAAAACAAATGAATACCGACAATGTGCAGCTACTCCGTTTATGGACACAACCGTGCATCCATATCCATGGAACTTGATGGTACATTAACGACACTAGGAGAGATAACTATATATGTATATGGTTGCAAGAATGGTACACTGAATTCAAGTAGTTCGCATAGTAACGACAGTAACTGGATTAACAGGGGTAGAAGTGATTTTCTTACCAGTTTCAGGGGAACAAGTGAAACAGCATATTATAAAGATATATTAGATTTTCAGATACGGTAGGAAAATCTGTTTCGAAAATGCTCGGCGACTACCAAAATCTGGAATCAACGCGCCGAACTTTCTGCTTGAGTTTGCATAACTTTCCAAACAAAATCGTGTAGAGCGTCGGAAATATCCGCGCCGTTGATTTTCAAAAACGATTTCCCTCCGAGCACAGTACCGTACGAAAATATTTCTGAAAGTTCTATCCTCTACCCTAAGAATTCACGAAAACTTCTATACAACTCTAATTAGTGTAGAAGAAAAATCGTGGAACATTTAACAAGATGTATGCCATACATGATAGGTATATATATGTATATATAATATATATAATATATATATAAAGTAGGTTCGAGCGAGGGTTGTTCTCGTCAAGGAGCTTTTCTTTCGAACCCGAACCGCTGCACGTGAAACGTTCGAAATATAAGAAAAAAGAAAACACTGATGTGATCCCGCGCAAAGAAACTTCGGCTTGCAATGTGGAACGAGTTTTGTTAGTCGACTCGTAGTTGAAATCTGAATACGCGAATAAAGCAAGCAAGCAAGCAAGTGGCAGCTTCTAGAGTACAGTAACGTGATAGGAGCACACGGATCGGGTTAAGATGTAGCATAATACAATCGGTGTAAACGAGAGATGTGTTGGTACGTATGAGACATCGTATATGCGTGTGTGCGTGTGTGCGTGTGAGTGTGTGATGTGCGTATGAGTGCGCGCGCGTTTGTCAGTGGGTGTGTGATACATATGGCATGATGATACAAGGCTCCTGCGGAAGCGATGATTAAAGGTTAGGTCAGGCTTACCCTCACTGTCGGCCTTCAAGTAGAGCTGCCCCTTTGGGCTCAGACACTGCCGATACTCGGTCGTGTAACATTCTGTATTCATTCAAACCAAATTTCAAGTTATCAAAATTTGCATTCAAGACCCTTTCGACGTGCTCTTTTTTTTGCGCCGTGCCTCAACGTTAATTACACGCGATTCTATCTGTTCGCTTTACGCGACACTGCTCCTTTTCTTTTTCTCTTAACGAAATTATCAATGAACATTCTCGGGTGGATGAGAAAAGTGGGTCCGTGATGTCTCGAACTCGAACGACTCACTAAAGTGAATAAAAATTCAGATTAGATCTGTTTTTTTATAAGGGGAGCAGCCATTTTATATGTTAAGCCTTTTTTGTTATATTAATAAATCTTTTCGTTTCTAACAAGATGGGACTAAGCACTTTGCATTCTTTATTAATTTATTAGTTAAACATCAGTATTTTTATTGATTAATATGATGGTAATTAGTTTCGTATAAAATAGTTTTTATTCGCTTTAATGAGTACGAGTTTGAAGGATTTTTATGTACCTATAGGTATAATACTTTGTGTATTATAAAAATTCCTTCTTGTATGATGTTTACATTTATGTCGCGATAGTTTCAATAGGTCACGAATAATTAATAGTTTCGGAATAGATATGTCTCGCACTGAACGATGTATTTGAATTGTCTTCGGCGACAACGCGGCTCGAAGTCGATACGGACGGTATCAGATTTGTTGCGTGAATTTGTGTGAAAAACAGACTACGATACGTTAAAAATTGAATATCTCTAGATTGTTGGTTTGCAAATGTTCCTTTATTCCAACTTTTTTATTCTCCTCATTCCATCGAACTTTGAAGTTCATGCTCGTGTTGCGTTATTTTTAATAATGCCCTACGCAAACTCAGCCCCCATTGACTACGTTTCAAAGTAATTGTCGCAATACTCTTCCCTTAATAGCTCGCGCGCGGCAAAATTGTGAAAGAAACATGAAAACCATTTTAAAAAATAATTTCTCCCGAAATTTTTCATCCGTATTACAGAGGGAATTCAAACTTCCGACTTTTGAAAACGTAAGCAGTAACAGTACTGAAACAGTTGAAAAATTCAAAAGTTTCACACACGTCTCGTGCACCCGTTTCTAGCCAAAGACAGTACATTTACAATTTTCTTGGTTACGTTAAATGAATTTCGAACTGGAAAGTTACATGATACGGCAGGATCGAGGTCGAACAATTTCGGAAGAACTTTTAAGCGTATCAGCGAAAAGTTTTTCAGTGAGGACTCGAAAACGGATTTCGGTTGATTCTCTTTGAACTGTAACTCGTAGCGCATAAATGCGCGATATGTATAGGATGTCATTGAATTTCCCTGGGGCGTTCTCAAATATTCCGAGGAGAAA